CCCGCCCAGGCCCCGCCCAGGCCCGCTAGACCCCGCCCCTAGCTCCGAAGTCTCCGCCCCCAAGGCGCAGGCTGCCAACCCCCGCCGCGCGCCCGCCCAGGCCCCGCCCCCGACTCCCAGGCCCCGCCCCATAGACCCCACCCCCTCGAGGGGGAGGGGGCCCGAGGAGCCGGAGGCGGCTGTCGCACGCCTGTCACCACGGCCCCATTCAGCCCGTGACGCGGACAGCAGGGACCTGTGTCCATCAGGCCACCCGTCACCCGCCGGGCCCGCCCGCGTGGGCGCCGGCCCTGTCCTCGGTGGCGCTGAGCGAGACGCCCCGCTCAGGAACCCCCAGCATCAGGACACACGTCCTCTGGGGGCCGCAATGGGGACCCCGCCTGCCGCGTGGCCTGGGGGACCCCTTGTTTGGAGTCCGCACAGTTGGAGCGCCGTGTCAGGTAGCCTATCGCACCGGACACCGCAGCTGGACGCTTCAAGGGGCCGGGCTCCGCTTTTCTAGAAACCCGAATCTCAGAGTCTCAGAGCGAGAGACGCAGCGGTACTGATCCGCACTCGCACCCTGACGCCCGCGCGGCACTGGTCCGACGCGAGAAGGCAGCGGCCCAGAAGCACCGCCCCTCGGGCGACGTCACGCCCTGCCCCGCCCTTTCTTCCAGGCCTCGCGAAGCCTCCCGGGCGAGGAGGGGCGCTCGCATTCTCCTGGCTCTCAGAGTGCGGGAACCCCCATGCTTTGGCCTTCCATTGGCCCGGGCCTCGTCACCGTTGTTTTAGGATTGGTCGGCTGATGCTCCTTTTCCCGGCCTCCCGGGGACTTCCGCTTCCGGTCCTGACGGCTGCTTCGGGTGTAACGATGATCGGAGACATCCTGCTGTTCGGGTAATTGGGGGACCAGACGGGGGGAAAGGGGAGCCAGACAGGACGGGGGACGAACTTAGTAAACGTAATTCTCCCTCCGCAGGACGCTGCTGATGAACGCGGGGGCCGTGCTCAACTTTAAACTGTGAGTAGGCCGCGCTGCGTTGCGGGTCCACCCGGGGAACTCGTAGACCCGCCCCCGCGAGTGTAAGCCCCGCCCCACCACCTAGGCCCCGCCCCGCGTCGTCGTCGGTCCTCTGGCCACGCCCCCATCCTGCGGTTGCCTCGTTCCGCGCGGCGCCACCCGGGCCTTTTAAATGCCCATCCCCGACGACCTGCTTCCATCCCCACCAAGCCTCAGGCGCCTCCCAGGAGGCAGCCCTGGCCGGACCCTCGGCCCGCGTTCCCTGTTCACCGCGTCGGTCGGGCTGAGATGGGCAAGGCAGGTGGTGCCCAGGGCCGCCCGAGCTCGCAGGCGGGACAGCCGCGGGGCTGCAGCTGGAGCTGGAGCCCGGGGTCCCTGCCCGCTGCGCTGGTGTCGGGTCCGTCCCCGTGAAAGTGGACGCTGTCTTCCCGCTGTAGGAAGAAGAAGGACGCGCAGGGCTTCGGGGAGGAGTCGAGGGAGCCCAGCACAGGTAAGGCCTCCTTTCTGGACCCCGGAATTGTACAGTGCTCCTGAGAGAGGACCCTTCTTTCTTAGCTATCCGGGCTTCCGGTTTTCTCTTGAACCGATGGTGCGCGAGTGGGGACTGGAGAGAGGTGGGCTGGTGGAGCGCCGCTTCTGCCGCGTGCGTGGCTCCGCTGCTGTCTGCCCCTCCCACACGGCCCGAAGTGAAGTGGGTGGAAGAATAAGCAAACAGCCGCACCAGTGGCTGTTGCTTTCAGAGCGTGCTGGCTTTTGTGGTTCTGTAAATTAGATACCGACGTTAGATTTTGAATAAATCAGGAGACTTTAGGTAAGAGCTCAGATGTCTGATTTTTCTTAAGGAATCAAATTTTTACACCGGGCGTGGTGGCGCACGCCTGTAATCCCAGCACTCAGGAGGCTGAGGCAGGAGGATTGTTGTGAGTTCAGAACCAACCTGGGATACAAAGAGAGCTCAAGGCCAGCCTGAACTGCACAGTGAGACCCTGTCTTAAAAAAAGAAAAAGAAAAAGAAAAAGAAATCAAATTTTTAAATTGGCTCTTTAAAAAATTGTGGAGACTGGTGTGATGGTGCACACCTGTAATCTCAGCATTCTGGGAGGCTGAGGCAGGAGGATCACAAGTTCAGGGCCTGCTGTGACAGTTCAGCAAGACTGTGTCTGAAAATATAAAAAGGGCTGAGGCTGTGTGTAGTTGGGTGGTAGAGCGCCTCTGCTACTCGGGATTGTGGGGATCCCTTGGCGTCCAGTGGGAGGGATTAAGATGCAGGGCTCTCCCAAGGCGGGGCCTGTGAACCCCCCTCACCCTGGCCTGGCCCCTTCATACTATATCATCTCACCCACCCAGTGACCCTGGACTCACTTCGTGTTGGTTAATCACTTGAGTGTTTTGAGTCCAAGAGAAGCGGCAGTGCCTTTTTTTTTTTTTTTCTCTTTAGCACATAGCTCTTGTATTCCTTCATTCATCTGTCAGCTGCGGTGCAGCTGAGTGGTGAGTGCTTGCCTACCACGTGCAAGGGCCTGGATTCAGTCCCAGCACCACAGAAACAGTCATCAGATGTTTATTGAACAGCTGCTACGTTGCCCGCTACTCTGATAGGTGCTGGGATAGAGTGGGGTGAGGCAGATGTTGCCTGGAAGGAGAGAAATGGTTCCCAGGTAAAGAACAGTGGTCGGAGGAGGTGTTGTCAGTGGGGGAGCCCTGGAGGTTAAGGAGCACGTGGCAGAGGAGGTGGCGTAGCAGCAGGCGCTGGGTGCCCTGCTGGAGCGTTGCCCGAGGCGGATGGGAACGCTGAGCAGGGATTTGGGGACGGCCTAGCAGCTCCCCTCTGTTTGGCGGCTGCCCTAGGGGTGGCTGCCCTGCAGGTGTTTCCTACTTGTGTTTGGTTCTACTTCAGGTCTCTATAAAAGGTAAGAGTTTTTTTCTTATTCTACATGTGAGGAAATAGGCTCAGATGTGGCTCTACCTTCCTATGGCCACACAGCAAACCAGTGACAGGATTGGAAACTGGATTGTTTGACCCCAGAGTTTGTACTCTTTTTCTCCATTTTTCTTTTTCTTTCTTTCTTTTTTTTTTTTTTTGGATGCAAGGTCTCTGTGTAGTTCAGGCAGGCCTAAAACTCAGTAATCTTCCTGCCTCAGCTTCCTGAGTGCTGAGATTACAGGTGGGTGCTACCATGTTGGGCCCCAGAGTTAGTACTCTCAACTGACTATCCATCTACCCATCTACCCATCCACCCACCCGTCCACCTGTTCACCCGTCCACCCACCCATCCACCCATCCATCCATCCATCTGTCCATCTATCCATCTATCCATCTATCTATCTACCCATCCACCCATCCACCCATCCATTCACCCATGTATCCATCCATCTATCCATCCATTTGCCCATCATCCATCAGCCCATCCACTCACCCATTCATACACCCCTCCATTGATTTGCCATCAGTTGATTCATCCACCCATGAGTTCACTCATCCGTGTATCCATCTATCCGTTGATCCCTTCACTGACGACTCCTCCATCCGACTCGTCTATCTGTTGGTCCGTCTGTTCAGCCAGCCAGCCTTCTAGCAGGTATATCTTGGCCGTCCAGGCTGGGGAAGGCACTAGTGCTTTACGTGTGTGAATCGGAGCTGAGATGGGTGGAAGGCTGGGTAGGAAGGCTCAGGGATGGCAGAAGTCTATGCAGTAGGTCAGGAGTCTCCGAGGCATGCGGATCTGCCATTTCCTGGCAGGCTGTGTTCTCCCTGGGCTCTCACAGCTGGGAGTCTGTACCTGCTCCCGCCCTCCATGCCTGCCCGACCCCTTGGCCCTCCCTCATGGCTGTGCCTGCTCAGTACTGTGGTGTGCCTGCCAGGAGTGAGCGGGCACAGATGGGCTGGGACCAGGCCGGGCTGGGTGCAGGAGGGCGGGGCGGGGCCTCAGTTGTGGTCATCTTCTGTCCCGCTTGAGGCAGCCTGTAAGCTTCTTTTGCGTCAGTCCCTGCCCTGCATTCGAGCCGGAACTGTGGGCACTGTGAGCCGGGTCGTTTCTCCCTGCACCCTGTCCTTGGCTACTGCCCCAGATGAGGGACTTTTGCGGCCAGCTCCTGACGGCCGGACAGCTGTGGTCACTGCCCCAGGCTGAGCAGTGCTTCTGAGCATCCAGGGACAGACCTGGGTCTCTGATTCCAGATCAAGGCTGTGCCGGACCCCGCCCTCCCGCAGCCCAGCCTGTCTCTTGGGTAACTCTCGGCTTATCTCACCTGCGGCCCAGGTGTGGGGTTGCTGGCAGGTTCCAGAGCTTACACTCACGGACAGCCTGGGCTGCGTGTGATGCTTCAGGTAGGACCTGGTGACTCGCCGACATTCTTCTCATTCTGGAGCCTTCAAGCCCTAGAGGGAGGTTCCAGGGCTGCTGGCTCTCTGGAGTCCTGACGCACCGGATTGCCTCCCTTTACAGGGAGTTTTGTTTTTTGGTATCAGAGACCAGTGTGAATCTCCGAAACATAGTATTAGTTTGACCTGCTCAAATTCGGGATGTTTTTCCTTCTCTTTATGGTACTGGGAATTGAACCCAGCACCCAGGCCTTTGCATTGAGGTACGTCCCCAGCCCTTTTTTTTTTTAACTCTTTACTTTGCAACAGGGTTTTGCTAAGTTGCCTGGCCTGTGGTTGAACTTGGGATCCTCCTGCCTCAGCCTCCCAGATGCAGGGGTGACAGGTGTGCACCAGCATGCCTGGCTGGGATGCTTTCTGTGTGTTTTGTTTCTTTGTGGTGCTGGTGATGGAACCCAGGCCCGTGCACACACTAGGCAAGCAGTCACCAGTGAGCTGTAACCCCAGCTCTAGGAGGATCTCGCAAGTTCAAGGCCAGCCTCAATAGTTACCCCTTCTCAAAAAGAACAAAGTACAACCCCATCTGACCCTTGCCGGCTCTCAGTTCTCCTTTTTCCTTGTCCTGATGACCTGTGTATAAGGATGGCCCCAGGCAGCACACATTCTTCTCTAAATGGCCACAAGGTAAATATTTTCAGCTCAGTGGCGCAAGAGCTCAGTTCTGCCGTGACCACACAGAGGCAGCCAGAGAAGGGATTAACTAAGTGGGTGTGGGGTGTGCCAGTGAAGCTTTACTCACCGTCATCCCAGCACTGAGGGGCTGAGGCAGGAGGATCGCTCTGAGTTCAAGGCCTGCCTGAACTACATGGTGAGGCCCTGTCTCAAAAAACAACAAAAAGCTTTATTCATAGACACAGACACTTGTATTTTATATCATTTTTGTCTCTCATGAAACATTTTTTGAATTTTTTAAAATTTGAAGATGTAAAACCATTTTAGCTCACAGACTATAGGAAAAAAAAAATAGGCAGAAAGGTCTCGATTTGGCCTGTAGGCCGCAGTTTTCTGATCCTTTTTAGGAGTGTCAAGCTTCCATCTTCCCAGCCTAGCAAACCCCTGAAAAAATGAGGGAAAGATTTTTTTTCTCAGTAATTGTGGGTGGGAATCTCGGGGCAGACTCTGACTGACGCAAGTCACATGGCCCTCCCTGAGCCAGCCAGCGTTTCCGGGCTTGGTGCTGTCAGGGGATTGGCCGGGGGCTGCCACAGCCCATGTGTTCCGGGCTGGGGAGCTGAGGAGACCCAAGAGAGAAGCCAGGTGTCAGGAAGCAGGACCCGTGGGTCCCCTGTGGGTAGAAGTCAGGGACCCACAGCAGCAGAGACATGGGCATGTTAGCTCTGCCCTCAAGGTGCTTTTTGACTTGCAGGTGACAACATCCGGGAGTTCTTACTGAGCCTCCGATACTTTCGGATCTTCATCGCCCTTTGGAATGTCTTCATGATGTTCTGCATGATTGTGTAAGTCCAGCCCCGACCCTTCAGTGTCGTCTGTGCTTTTGGGGTGCGCTTTTGTGTCACACTTCTGCTTCCAAAACAAGAAGTCTCCCCTCGAGTGAGGAGCTCGGGGCCAGCGGGGTTTGCCTGTCACTGAGGTACCCGTGGGCAGGGCACAGCTGCTGGAAACGGCGTGCTCCAGGTCCCTCTGTGCTGGGGCCTGCCCTGAGCCTATGACCCTGTCCCCTCACCCCCTCCGCGGGGCTGAGCCTGTAGTGGCGTCTGCTGAGGTGGGGAAACGATGTGCCTCTCTGGCATGCTGCCAGGTCCCCCAGCAGCCTTGCTAGAAGTGGCAGCAATGTCCTGAGAACTGATTTCTGGCCAGGTGTGGTAGCGCGCCTGCAATCCCAGCACTTGTGAGGCTGAGGCAGGAGGATCGCCGTGAGTTTGAAGCCAACCTGTGCTACACAGTGAATTCAGGATGAGCCTGGGCTACCTAGTGAGAGCCTGTCTCAAAAGACAAAAAGAAAGACCTGATTGCTGTTTTCAGGGCCACCATTTCTCAGGAGGCTGAAAAACCCCCACAGAGTGCTTTTCCTTCCAGACCTGTGAATAAACCCTGCAACCTGTGGTAAACAGGCTTGGAATAAATACTGTGAGGAAGTGTGGTCATCACGCCTGACATCCAGCACTCAGGAGACTGAGGCAGGAGGGTTCTGGGCGACATGGTTCAAGGCCGCATTGTACTACATAGTAAGACCCCGTCTCAAAAACAATAGTGCAGACTGGCGATCATTGTAGAGTGTCCCCAGTCGCAGAGGCGGCCGGGGAAGGAAGGCCAGAGGGCGGTGTGATTGGATCCGGGAGGGAGAGGCTGTGAGGAGCCTGCCACTCGCAGAGCTGGAGAAGGCACAGCGTGCTGAGGTCCGGGGCAGGAAGCACTCCGTGGTCCGCTCTGTTCAGTGCATCTGCTTCGTCAGCCCGTCCTGCCCGGCGGGCTCCCTCCCCGCCATCCCAGCACACTCCTGGGGCCCGCCTAGCGCCTCGTCCGCATCCTGCTCTCCTGCCTGGGAGCGGAGCCCCACTGGGCCACTTGGGTGTCCCCCATGCCGTGGGGCCCGGGGCTCCTGGCTGTAGGGCCAGATCTGCCTGCTCTTGGCCAGCCGTGGTTGTGAAGCCACCGTGGCTCCGGCTGCTTTTGTTCCACAGTGCTTCTGTCCCGGCTCCTGGGAGCCCCGGGCCTGCAGAGCCTGAATGCTACTCTGGCCCTTTGCAGAGTGTGCAGAGACCCGAGGGAGGCCCGCTCTTCCGCGGGGGCCGTGGGCAAGCGAGGGCTCTCAGGAGAGGGCTGTTAGCCCCCACACTCAGGAGGCTGAGGCAAGAGGAGGCAACTCGGTGAGACCCCGGCTCGTAAAGGAAAAGTCAGTTTTTTAAAATTTTAAAGATAAGAAAACTTACAAAACGACAATGAAGACAAAATCAAAACAACACAAACACAACAAAAACAATACATGACCTCAAAACAACACGATAGGAGTTAACACTGGTTGGTACTTTACATACTGTTACCTTCAACGAAGTCGCTCAGTCCACCAGACGTAAGAATGTAAGATTGATCGATCAGAAGACAGTAACAAGTAATACAAAAAACACTGGAAATGACACAGAGCTTCACCATAGAAGACGCTAGGAGTTCAGTAGTGGTTCTTACACTGCATGTTGTTGTTTTCGGATCAGTCATTCTGATTACCAGGTTCAAGTGTGCAAAATTGGTCAGGAAAGAAGAAAATTTTAAGCATTGACTGTTCCTTTCAATAAAGCACAGACGTTAGCAATACACCTATCCCAGCTGTCCTTGTGTGTACATACCAATTTTGTTTTTCATTTTAAAGAGAAAAGAAAAAAAAACCAAAATAACAAAAACAAATACATAAACAAAGCAGCCTAGAGAACAATAAAAATGATACAGAATTTCAAAACAAGGTGATAGGATATTAACAGTGGTATGCAAGGGCAAGGTTGATCAAACAGTTATACATTAACAGTTCCTTTCAATAAACCCACGATACTATTAGTACCATTATCCCAGCTGTCCCGTGTATACATATATGTATTTTTTCCCTCTTCTTCTTTCTTTTTCCTCTCCCTTCCTTCATCCCAGTTGCTTCTTCCATTTTGAGCAGTTTCTTTTCCTCAAAAGGAAAAATTATAAAGCTTGGGGGATTGTTAGGTGACGGCCCTGGGCTCCATGCCCAGTGAGAGAGGGGTCTCCCCTGGGGGCTTCCCAGTGTACTGAAGCACTGGGAATCACCCAGATATCCACGAACAAGGTCCGCCAAGCCGCAGGACGCCGTGTGAACTGCTCTCATGATGCTGGCACTGAGAGGGATGCTGTCAAAGCAAAGTAAATTGGGTGCTGCCACATGTAGCCTGACTTCAGTAGGAGCTGCTCACACGGAACGTGGAATAAGGGAGCCGGGTGTGCTGGGATCTGCCTGTCAGCACAGCGTTGTTGGAGGCTGAGGCAGGAGGATAGGTTCAAATCCAGCCTGAGCAACATAGCAAGACTCTGTCTCAAAAAGGGCTGGGGGTGTAGGTCAATGCAGAGGCCCTGTGTTCATTCCCCAGTGCTGCAAAGAGAAAAAACAAGAGCAGAGTAAATGCTGAATGAGCAGCTGAGTGTGGTAGTGCACGCCTGCAATTCCAGCACCATGGGAGGCTGAGGCAGGAGGATTGCGGAGAGGGAGAAGGAGACGGAGACGGAGAAATTACTGCTCCCTGTGCCCTCTGTAGTGGGTGAGCTGCGCTGCTGTGGGAGTGTCAGGAAGCACGAAGCAGTGGGGGTGGGGAGTGGCCTGCTGGGCTCGGGCCTGGGCTGACCCTGAGACAGGAGCCGGGTGGGTGGCCTAGTGTCGCTCCGCCAGTGGCTGGAGAGTGGGGCGGTCTCTCTCTTGGCTCTTGGGGCTAATACTGATGGAAATGCTCACGCACAAGCTCTCTCCCAGGAGGGCGGTTTTCACTTGTTGGGTATAAGCGCTCACATACACGCGCAGCGTCACTTGGAAGAGCCTAAAGGCTGTTCTGCGGAGCAGTGGGCCGTGCTGCACTCTTTCCTGGGCGTACTGTCTTCCCATTTCCATCTTTTCCGATCCGTAGTGTGAGTTTTTTTTTTAAAGGCGATCAGGTATTTTTAAAAGTTTTATTTTTATTATTTTTTTTTAATCTTTTGAGACATGGTTTCACTGAGCAGTTCAGGCTGGCCTTGAACTTACTTTGTAGCCCAGGCTGGCTTCCCATGCAGCCATCCTGCCTCAGCCTCCCGCATCCTAGGAAGACAGGTGGCCTTGCCATGCCCACATTAGTGTTTCTGTCGTTGTTGTCTGGGTACAGAGTCTTACAGTGCAGTGCAGGCCAACCTTGAACTCACTCTGTAGCCCAGGCTGGCCTTGAACTCATGACGGTCGTCCTGCCTCATCCTCCTTTGTGCTGGGATTACAGGCATGCGCTACCATGCTTGGCTCCACGTTAGTCCTTTGATCATAGCTGCCCTGGCATGTGACGGTTCTGATTTGCATTCCCTGGCAGTTCATGATGGTGTACATTGTTTTACATTATTGGCCATTTATACAACTCCTTTTGAGAAATCTCTGTTCAGATCCTTTACCCGTTTTTAATTGGGCCATTACTTGGTTGTAACCATTCCTGTTCTGGGTCCTAGTCCTTTATCGGGTGTGATTTGTGAATGTTTTCTCCCCTTCTGGGTTTTCTTTTCTATCTGTGGTGCTGGGGACTCAAACTAGAGCCTGGTACACCCTACACCCCCAGCCGATCTTTTTACTTTTTGATGGCATTACTTGAAGCATCAAAGTGTTAATTTTACTAAAAGTCCCATTTATCTGGTTATTCTTTTGTTACTTGCACTTTCGGTCTTACACCTAAAACATCATTAGCTGACCAAGGTCAGGAAGATACACACCCCAATTTTCTAAGAGATTTGGTGTTTTTAGTTCTAGGTAGGCCTCTGGTCCATCTAAATTAACTTTCTTGTTTGTTTGTTTGTTTGTTTGTTTGTTTGAGACAGGGTCTTGCTGTGCAGTTCAGGCTGGCCTTGAACTCATTATGTAGCCCAGGCTGGCCTCAAACTTGTGTCGATCCTCCTGCCTCAGCCTCCCAAGTGCCAGGACTATAGGCTGGCGGCACCATGTCTGGCCTGAGTTTTTGTGGATGTGAGGTACGGGTCCAGCTCCTGTCCTTCTGCGTGTGGAGACCCATTCTCCCTGCACCTGTTAGTCCTCAGACTGGCCATTTTCTTTTAGGCCAGGTTGAGCTTTCTAGACTGCTACAGGAGTGGCATGGAAAGGCCCATGCCCGTGTGTTTGGCTCCGAGGTCCTCCCAGCGCTGTGTCACAGTGTGGAGACCCAGGCCCAGGCCTGGTGGACGGTGGTATCATCCCTAGGGCTTTGCTGTCCCATGTGCGTTTAACTGAACCGAATGAACTGGAGCAGTGCTTGTCGGTCCCTTGCTGTGGAAGTCGCCCTTGGCTGAAGTGTCACGGACTCATAAAGGTGCTTTGGTCCCTGTGTCTCCAGCGCTCCTTCAGGTCCCAGACTGCACAGACGCTTAAGTCCCTTCTACGAGGCGTCGCAGTTGCTTTGGCCCTGCGTACTCGCGGTCCTGGGAGTCACTGGGCGGTTACCTGCAATGCAAGTGTGGTACAGTGTGGTGGAAGTGGTTGCTTTATTTTGTTTTGGGTATGTTTTTTTGTTCTGCTTTTTGGTTTTTGCTTTTTTGAGACAGGGTCTCCCTATACAGTTCAGACTGGCCCCGAACTCACTGTGTAGCCCAGGCTGGTCTTGAACTCGAAAGGATCCTCCTGCCTCTGTCTCCCGAATGCTGGGATTATAGGCGTGCGCCGCCACACCCAGCTTTTGTTTTGTTTTGAGGCAGAGTCTGTGTTTGTTGTTCAGGCCGGCCCTGAACTCACTCTGTAGCCCAGGCTGGTCTTGAACTCGAAAGGATCCTCCTGCTTCTGCCTCCCAAGTGCTGGGATCACAGACATGTGCCACCATGCCAGGCTTTATGCAAACGGTTCAGCGGTCACTTTTATAACTAGAGTAAATGTTTTGGTGTTGTAGAACGCGTTCCCATGTGGAAAGCACCCACATTTATTTTTAAAGTCAGAAAATGATTTGAGTTTCAGCCGTGCAGATCGACGAGTGTCTCCGTGCACTGCCTCGTCCTCACGGTCACGCTTGCTCTAACTTTTGCAGGCTCTTTGGCTCCTGAGCCCCAGAGGCAGAACTGGAATCACCTGCCCAGGCGTGGAGTCTGCACTTCCTGTTCCCGCTGACTTCAAGGGCGCTTTAGAGCAAACCAGCAAGTGTCCCAGCAAGCCCCTGCTGTTGGGGGCGGAAGCTCCCAGCATGGGCTGCGTGCGCCACAGTGACTCCCTGACCAGGAGCGGGAGCAGCTGGAGCGGCCCATCCCCTCGCGGCGGAGCCCCTCCTCGGCCAGCCTCTTCGGGAGCCCTGCGCCCAGGTGTCCTCCCGGGTGTTCCTTGGTTTGCTTTTAATAACTTCCCTTTTCGTCCACATTGTGCGGATTTGCACCAATCACGGGAGGACTGGAGCAGAAGCGTCCGCCACGAGCTTGAAGAAACCCTTTCAGGCAGCGTCTGCCAACGCGCTGCGTGACTGTTGCGTGCTGGCTGCTGCCGGGGACAGCCCAGGGCGGCCTCCGGATCCCTCCCATCCGCCGCCCCGTGTGCCTGGCCACTAGGTTCTACAGCTGAGGTCACCCCAGGACTTGCCGGGTTAGGCCACCTGTCACGAACCTGCTAGATGCCCTGCCTGGCGAGCCACTGGTTTCGAGGAGGGGAGCTCAGACAGGTGGTGGTGGCTGGGGGGCGGTTAGAGACCTGCTTTGCGTCAAATGCCTTTGTTACATAAAGGGGCCTTGGGGGTGCTCGACACATAGCCGCGTGAGTGGTTTGTTGTTGGTTTGAGACAAGGTGTCACTGTAGTCCAGGCTGGCCTTGAACTCAAGGTAGTTGTCCTGCTTCAGCCTCCTGAGTACTATGATCATGGTGCAACACCACGTCCGGCTCAGAAGTATCTTTGAAGGGGACCCCTGGTTTCTATGCTAAAGTGAAACGGCCAAATCCTACAGTTTTTTAGTTTGCTTTGGTTTTTGAAATCTTTACTTGTAGGTAAACGTGGAGGGAGAAAAAAAGGCTTTTACAGTTCGGTCACATTGAAAACAAAGCTCATTTTTAAAAAAGGTTTGTAGTCTTTAGGTTGAGGGATCTCACTTTGTAGCCCAGGCTGTCCACAAACTCCTGCACTCAAGCAATCCTCCTGCCTCAGCCTCCTGAGTAGCTTTGATCCCTGGCCATGACACTATGCCTGGCTCTGTACTTTTTTTTTTTTTGTCTTTTTCAGAGAGGGTCTCGCTATGCAGTTCAGGCCGGCCTTGAGCTCACTTTGTAGCCCAGGCTGTCCACAAACTCCTGCACTCAAGCAATCCTCCTGCCTCAGCCTCCTGAGTAGCTTTGATCCCTGGCCATGACACTATGCCTGGCTCTGTACTTTTTTTTTTTTTGTCTTTTTCAGAGAGGGTCTCGCTATGCAGTTCAGGCCGGCCTTGAGCTCACTTTGTAGCCCAGGCTGGTCTCGAACTTGCAGTGATCCTCCTCCCTCAGCCTCTCAGGTGCTGGGATTACAGGTGTGCGCTACCGTGCCCAGCCCTCTTTGTACATTTTTTGAACCAAGAAATCAGCTTCCTATGTGGAGTGTTTCGGGTGACCTGTGGGAGGCATCCCGGGCTGCTCTTGTGGCTGTCAGAGGTTAGAGGCTGCTGGCAGATCTCCCCCCGTGACTCGTACTCAGTCCGCTCTGGGTGGGAGTCGGGCAAGTGCACAAGGCTGTCAAGGCCGAGGCAGAGGGGTAGGACGGGGCAAGGTCGGGCCCTGGTTGCTGCTCACGCTCCCCTGCCTCAGTGCTTTGCTCCCGTACCCCTGGGCTGTGTCCATGGCGCTCAGGTTCCGCGTGAGGGCTGGATCTGCGGTCTCACGGTCACGCTCAGCAGGGTGGCTTTCTCAGATACCGGCCGCGCTCGGGGATGCGGCTGTCCGATCTTCATCTCTGCGGAGCTGGGGGCGGAACCCAGGCTCCGGCCACGAGGTGAGCCCACTGCCGAGCTGTGCAGCAGCCCCAGGTCCGGCCTTCAGGAGGTCCAGAGACAGGCGCAGCACTGGGGTGTGAGGGTTCGGTACCAGCTAAGGCACGGTGGTATGTGGTGATCGGCAGCCGGGGCGCCCTCTGCGCTGTCACCTGTGGCACCAGGGCCCGTGGCCCCGTCACCGGGTTGCTGCTTCTCCTGGCGGGGGCCGATGAGGGTGGAACGGTTTCCCTGCTCTGCGAGGCCGGCTTCCACCCCCAGCTCCGCAGTGAGGGGGCGGTGGCCGCTGGTGACCCCTGCCTGCCCCCTCGCCCCGCCCAGCACGCACAGTGGCACAGTGGCTGCTCTCCTCGCACGCTGCCTTCCTGACAGAGCAGCCGAGGGCCGCTGGCCCTCAGGTGAGTTGGGGGCCCTGGCTGGGCCTGACGTCGTGCTTTGGCCCTTGCCGTCAGAGCTGCCGCTGCAGCTGGCGTGGTGCCGCTCACCGGCCGCCCTCCCAGGCCTGCTCCCACGGGCAGGGACTGGGACAGGTGTGTCACACGCCAGCGTCGCGGGGGCCCTTGCTGTCCTGTCGTTCCCGTATGGTCCCTCACACTGAGCTTCGTCTTGTCGTTTCAGAGTTTTTTAAATTTTTGAGATTGGGTCTCACTAAGTCCCTAAATTGTCCAGGTTCATTTTGAACCTATGATTGTCCTGCCTCAGCCTCCCCAAGTGCTGGGATGGATGATAGGTCTGCATCCCCACACCCAGCTTTAAGTGGCCTCATTACTCAAGCTGTTCATCACAAAGTGTAAGATGCCGATTTGCTAGAAGGCAAGAAAATCACCCAGAACTATACTGAGCCAGCAGTTCCGCCTGGGTTGTGCAGCCTCCGGCCCCATCTCTCTCTTTTTTTAATGTGCTGGGGATGGAACCCAGGTGCTTCACACTGTGCTGCAGCCCCAGCCCTTTTTTTTTTTTTTTTTTTTTTTTTTTGGTCTTTTTGAGACAGGGTCTCACTATGCAGTTCAGGCTGACCTTGAGCTCACTTTGTAGCCCAGGCTGGCCTCTAACTCGCAATGATCCTCCTGCCTCAGCCTCCCAAGTGCTGGGATTACAGGTGTGCACCAACTTGCCTGGCCCAGTCCGTATTTTTCCTAGACAGTCTAAGTAATGAAATTTCCCAGGCTGGACTAGGACTTGCGGCCCTCCTGCCTCTGCCTCCCGGTACTAGAGTACTGGTGTGCTTCACACCTGATGTAGCCGGTTTCCTTATGCAGGACCATTGGAGTGTGGTATGTACATTTTCTTTCGTTTTGTCTTTCAGTACTAGGGATGGAACCTTCCTACCTGCTAGGCAAGGGCTCTTCTGCTGAGCTATACCCCAGCCCTTTATTTTTTATTTTGAGACAGGTTCCTGCCAAGTTGCCTGGGCTGGGCTTGAACTTGCGATCCTCCTGCCTCAGCTTCCCCAGTAGCTGGAATGAGAGGGAGGCTTGCAGTTTTCACATTCGCTGAGATCTAGCTAGCTGTCTCCAGGCACTGTGCTCTAAAGCCTAAAACTTGAGTTCCTTGCCCAGGAGGGAAAGGGCGCTGGCTGGTGCTTCTGAGGCTGAGAGGTGGGAGTGAAGGCCCGAAGCCGGCACCCGCCAGCCTCTCTTCCTCCCGGTGCCTGGCATCAGCACCAGGCCTGTGCCTCTGCGACCCCAGCACTGCCTCCCAGTGTCTACCTGTGTGGAGGCGGGCGCCAGCGCTCTCGGGACGGACGAGCAGCCTTGTTTTCCTGGGCTCATTTTCCATCCTGCTTGGAGACAGGTGCCTTCTAGGTGCCGAGAGCTCCGGGAAGCAGAGTGTGACCACAGCTCGTGTTCCCAGAAGGGAAAAGACCCACTGCAGACTGCGGGCTCAGACTCGGCAGTTCCGCAGTCAGGAAGTGGTGAGGTGCACACCCGTCACCCCAGCACTCAGCAGGCTGAGGCAGGAGGGTTGTTGTGAGTTCAAGACCAGCCCAGGTGACACAGTGAGACCCTGTCTCAAAAAAGACAATGGTGAGCTGGGGTGCGACTGAGCCAGGCCTGAGTTCCACCCCAGGACCGTGGGGGAGGGGAGGGGAGGGCGGGAGCGGTAGAGAGGACAGCGGAGGTGAGACGGAGACGGGACCCGGCCTGGTGCTGCCGTTGCCCCTCCACAGGCCTGTGCTGTCATCTGCCTGACAGGCCGGGCGCTGGCTGAGGGCTCCAAGAGGCTGAGGTGGGAGGATCTCAAGTGCATGCCCAACCTGGGCGACTCAGCAACTCAGGGAGACCCTGTCTCAAAAAGTGTATGCAGATATTCTTTAAAAATGGTCGGGGGCTGGGGATGTAGCTCAGTGGCACAAGCGCCTGCCTGGCAAGCTTGAGGGCCTGAGATAAATTCCCAGGACCAAAAAGAAAAAGAAAAGGGGTTGGGTAGCTCAGTGCAGGGGGCTGGGGTTCGGTCCTCAGTGCCATTAGCAATGAAGGGGCCACGGTTCTTACCAGCACCTTGGCCTCAGTGCAGAGCCTCGGGGCAGCGGACCAGCCCCACTTGCTGCTGTCTGGTGAGTCTTCCCGGCCTGCAACGGCTGGCCACCTCTCGTGTCCCTGGTGTCCCCTCTGGCCGCGTCTCTGTGCCGATGCCACCCTAATGCCTGTGTCAGAGGGACGAGGGTCCCTCCCTTCTGACAAGTTCGACCCTAACGACCTGTGGCACTCGGGAGGCTGTGGCACCCTAGCCTGCAGGACCCCACTTGGGAGGGCTGGCTCGGTCCCTAAGAGCAGGCCCAGCAGGTCAGGCCTCAGCTGTTGGGAGCTGATCTTTGGCTTGTGCCTGTAGTTACAGCCACTCTGGAGGCTGAGGCAGAAAGATCGCAGGTTGACCAGCCTGGGCTGCACGGTGAGATCCCATCTCAGAAAAATGACAAGAAGCGGGTGTGGTCCAGGAAGATGCTGATAGTGTTCTGAAGGGCCGTCCTGGTGCCCCAGGCGGAGCCTTGTGCTAAGGGGATGGTGGCCTCCCCTCCCCGGGGCACCTCAGGCTTCAGGTCCCCATAAACCCTCGGGGGTGCTGGGAGTGGGTTGTGCTGACAGTGTGGGTTGCTGTGACAGCCCAGAGCTCTCTGTCTCCTTCTTTTCTTTCCTTCCTTCCCCTCCCCCCTCCAGTCTTCCTGTCTTCTAAGTGTGTGCTAGGGTTAGAACGTGGGGCCTCCAGCATAATTAGAGCCTACCACCCTGCCCTCCCTACGCCCAGCTGCGTTTCTCCTCCCTGCCACTTTGCTGGTACTGGGAAATGAGCCCAGGGCCTGTTCATTCATTCATTCATTCATTCATTCATTATTCATTCATTCTCTTTTGGAGACAGGGTCTTGTTCTATTATTCAGGCTGGCCTTGAACTCACAGCGATCCTCCTGCCTCAGCCTCCTGACTGCTGAGTGACAGGCATGTACCACCACACACTTTTGTCTTCTTTGGTACCAGGAATCAAACTCAGAGCCTCACACTTGCCAGGCAGGCATTGTACCACTGTGTCCCTGGCTCCCTTTTTAATTGATTTTGCATCCCTGGCCCCCTTTTATCTTTCGAGACAGTCTCAGTAAACTGCCAGGTTCCCCAGGCTGGACTTGAACTTGCCGTCCTCCTGCCTCAGCCTCCCATAAACCCACTGGTGGGTGAGTTTTAAGCCTCTTGCTGTACTTTAGTGACCATCTGTAGCAAGCATGTATTGTACTTGTCATTAGGAACACACACACACAGTGTCTAGGAGGCATAGAAACCCCCAGGATGTTTCGGGATTTTAAAA